CTGTCATGGGAGAGAAAGAGGAAATAGTGGGGAAAGGGGAAATGATATACCTCCCACAAGTCCTTGCAGGTTCCTGCTTGTTCTAGATATTACTTAGGGAGGATGGATGGATTGTTCATAACTTAGACTGCAACTTCCCGCCTATCTAATGAATACCAGTTCTGACTCCAGCTGTGCTTGCCAACTGTGATTCCTAAAAACGTAATCCATGCTGAATATTATTTCGTTCCAGGAATTGTGATTGGGCTCCATTGTCCTCAATGCAGTTAAGATTAGTGATTATTATGGCCTATTACCTCTTGGTTTTAATTGTTTTAATGATGTTTTTGTTGGTGGCTTTAATGGTTTTTAAATTTGATTTTTATTGTGTATATTGTAATCTGTTAGCCACCTTGGTGAGGGCGGAAAGGTAAAAACAACAAAAAAGGAACCAACAGAACAAGTTAGTTATAAGATGCAGCAGATAGATAGGATTTATTTGTGTTATCTGCATATATATTTAACAGGTGACTTTATATATTACTTAGACCAGTAACACACACATACATATTTATAACTTCAGCTTCTGTTTCCTGCCTGTCTAATCAATACTAGTTCTGACTCCAACTGTGTTTGTCAACTGTGATTCCTAAAAATGTAATGCATGCTGAAAATTATTTCGTTCCAGGGATTGTGATCGGTGCCGCAACCCACTTGGCCCAGCTGAGGGACATCCTGTTAAATGTGGTCCCAGAACTCCCTGTAGAAAAGACAAAGATTTACCGTACTCTGTTGAAGCAGCTGAGAACGCTGGCAGGAGAACAGATCAGGAATCTGGCTGTACGTCTTCCAGACAACTACTGTTCACAAAATATAGATTACCTCATGTCCCTTTCTGCCAAGACAGCAATGATGAGAAGTGGACAGTCTTTTAGAGAAGGTCCATTTTGAATGTAGTTCATAAAGTAATAGACGCCCTTCATTTAATCAGGGCTGCGGTGGCTCAAGTGGTTAAGACACTGAATTGCAGACCGGAAGGTCAGTAGTTCAGCAGTTCGAGACCCGGGTGTGCCACATGACGGACTGAGCTCCCGTCTCTGGTCCCAGCTCCTGCCAACCTAGCAGTTCGAAAGCAAGAAATTGCAAGTAGATAAATAGGCACCACTTCGGTGGGAAGGTAACAGCGTTCTGTGTGCCTTGGTGTTTAGTCATGCCAGCCACATGACCACAGAAAACATCTTCGGACAGCGCTGGCTCTAGGCTTTGAAATGGAGATGAGCACCACATCCCTAGAGTCAGATTCGACTGGCTTTCGAGCAAAGGAAACCTTTACCTTTACCTTCATCTCTGAGGATCCCACTCTGTTTGCCCCTACCATTGTCTGATTTGCTTTCCCTCATCTTCTTCAACCTGTACAGGAGAGGCGGCCGTCACATGGTGTCTGCTCCAAGCAGGAGATCTGGAGATAAGGGGGAAGCCCATTCATGTGTCCATATACCCAAATCACTGATTGACAAACACACCTAGCTGGCTAAATCAAGAACCCACACAAAGTGGGTCCAGATTAAATTTTCCAGTGGTAGACTGGAACATTCCTGCCTCCTCCCACCCACTGCAGCGTACTCATCTCATCTCCATGAAATGCTGCTCCTGGGGGATAGGAGACCCTGAGGGATATCATAAGTGGTGTCTGGAGCAGAAAGGGGTAATCAGTGGAAATTGCCAGTTTACTGTGGATCCAACCTAGGAGAAAGAACTGTGGGACTGAATGTCACATCTCTCTTGCTGAGGATAGACTTTAACATGCTTAACTTCCTTCGGCCACCTCCCGGGCATTCACCCTGCATAACCCATAGCCACAGTCCTCTTTAGGAGAATTTACTTATTTTAATTATTTTATTGGATTTGTATTCCGCTGTCCCTGTAGAGCGGGCTCAGGGCGGGTTCCATCATAAATAACAGTTAAAAACAATTAAGATGCAGCAGTTAAAATACCGTTACTCATTCCCATATTCGTAGCCAGTGCCTCAACAGATGAGGTCTAGTATAATTTGAGTTCCAGATGATGACACAGATCTGATCCACTGGAGGGGAGGCCCAATAGAGGGGGAACGCCCACAGCCTCAACTAAAAGCCTGGCGGAAGAGCTCCATCTTGCAGGCCCTACAGAACTGTAAAAGGTCCCACAGGGCCCTGATCTCATATGGGAGTTCATTCTACCAGGTAGGGGCCAGGGCCGAAAAAGCCCTGGCCCTAGTTGAGGCAAAATGGATGTCCCTAGGGGTGGGGACAACCACAAGATGCTCATCTGCAGATCGTAAAATTCTCCAAGGCTTATAAGGGGAGAGGTGGTCTTGAATATATGCAGGCCCCTGGCCGTATAGGGCTTCGAAGGTAGGCACCAGCACCTTGAAACAGATCCGGTACTCAATAGGCAACCGGTGCAGTTCACACAGCCCAGGGTGGATACGCATCCGCACAGACGACGAGGTCAACACCCGTGCCACCGCGTTCTGCACCAGCTGCAGTTTCCAGAGCAGAGCCAAGGGCAGCTCCACGTAGAGAGAATTACAATAATCCAATCTGGAAGTTACCATGGCATGGGTCACTGTAGCCATTTCCCAGGGGGTGAGGCATGGGGCCAACTGCCTGATCTATCCCAGATGGGGAAAAAAGCAGGCCTGGCAGTGGCGGCGACCTGGGCCTCCATGGTTTGGAAAGGAACACTGAAGCAAATGGGTAAAGATGCTACAAAGCAAACAGATTTCCCCTGTGAGCACCAGCCCCCAACCTAGAGACCCCCCCCCATTTGAAACAGGGAATGATATTGGGTTAGGAGGGCTAGCAAAAAACATGTAGGTATGTAGAAGGAGCTGCGGTGGCTCAAGTGGTTAAGATGCTGAACTGCAGGCTGTGGAAGGGCGGTAGTTCAGCAGTTCGAGACCCGGGTGCGGCATGATGGAGTGAGCTCCCATCTCTAGTGCCAGCTCCTGCCGACCTAGCAGTTCGAAAGCAAGAAATTGCAAGTAGATAAATAGGTACCACTTCGGTGGGAAGGTAACAGTGTTCCGTGCGCCTTGGTGTTTAGTCATGCCGGCCACATGACCACGGAGACGTCTTCGGACAGCGCTGGCTGTTTGGCTTTGAAACGCAGATGAGCACCGCAACCCTAGAGTCGGATTCAACTGGCTTTCGAGCAAGGGAACCTTTACCTTTACCTTTATGTAGAAGTACCGACTGAGGTGGGGTCGATTAATGTGCTTCCTGCAGAAAGGCAAAGCTGGATTAGTATGGTATTGATGTGTTATTGAAGATACTCCCAAATCATTTTTAAGCACACGGAAATGTCAGTTGTCCTTGAATGGATTTTTTTTTCTGCTTGAAGAGAGATGTACACATTAAAATTCCAGAAATTTATAACTAGGGGTGCTTTTTACGCCCGTATGGCTATACGTGTGTGAGAGAGGGAAAACAGCAACAGTAGAAAAGAGCCAGAGTCCGGGAGCACCTTAAAGACTAACGAAATTTGTGGCCGGGGAGGAGCTTTCCTGAGTCACTGCTCACTGCTGTATCTGAAGAAGTGATCAGTGACTCATGAAAGTTCTTCCCCTGCCACATATTTTGTTAGTCTTTGGGTGCTCCAGGACTCTTCCTCTTTTCTACCGCCACAGACAGAATACCACGGCTACCCGTCTTGATCTAACAACAATGGTGTCCTTGTTTGTCAGTCCTTAGGAGGACACATTGTAAGTAGAGGGTCACCTTGGGATCTGAACCCCGTCCTGGCAGCCGGGAAAGCTATCCTCAATCTGGCATCAAGAGGTAAGAGGCCTTAACCGTCTGTTAATAAATATTGATTTGGGGGCAAAATAGTGTGCAAAATCTATATAACTACTAACCATGGGTGGGTCTCATACGTGGATTAACATGACAAGGTGCAGCATAGGGTTCCGCAATGCTGGGGGAACCCCTCAAGTTTTCAGAAAAGTGTGAATGTTTCACAGAAAAAAGGATGAATCCTCCCCTCCAATAATTAGCCTCGTCATAGGTGCAAATGCCGGGCGGATTTAAAGGGCGTGATCAGAGGTCATTTCGGGGGGGAATGTGGGGGAACGCAGTTCCCCCGGGTGAGGTGTAGGGGGGCGGGGCACATGACGAAGCCCCGCCCCCTGCTTCCGGCCGCCCCGCTTCCAGCCCTCATTCAGCCAGGAGGAGGCAGGAGAAGAGGGAGAGTAAGTTGTTTCCTCCCCGCCTCTCCCCACCCCTGCCTGCCTGGGGCCAGGGAGGGCCTTGGCAGGGCTTCCTCGCACTCCCGCTGGCCTTGCAGGTCCACCGCCGGGCCCCTGATGTCAGGGGGTGTGGCATATGCTAATGAGTTATGCTAATGAGTTCCCCTAGCTCTTTTTCTACGAAATGTCCCCTGGCCATTAGAAACCATTCTGCTTCTCCATATTCTGTCCTAACAATAACCTCTTGTCCTGTTAAAACCAACCATAGCTTTTCATGATCCACACAATCAAAAGCTTTGATGTAGTTTACAAAATACAAGCTAGTTTTTCTTTTGAAATTCTCTCGTATGCTCCAGCAACTAATGTAAATTAACAATATGATCTCTAAGGCAAAAAAGCTCATAGTGCTACAGGCATATGAGCTGATTTCTTTTTTAAAAATTTTCATGGGCTGTGTAAACTGCATGTCTGCAAAGAGCACCATCTGTAAAGGCGATGTGTTTCTCTGACAGGTAGAAGACGACAGATTCCCCTGAATGGTGAATTCCTCGCACGGTTGCCAGAGGCAGATCTTTTCCCCGAGGAGGTCATAGTCTCCGTTTTTATTCCATTTTCAAAGAAAGTGAGTGTTCTTTCTTGTTTGTTTGTTTTGGTCCTCCACCTCTCACCACAAGATGCTTTCAGCGTTTTGGGTACATTGGGTACTGGAGCGTTCTGGGGCACCTGTGTTCACCTGATATGAGCCATGGGGTTTGCGGCTATTGTGTATTATGCCATCTACTTTTTAATTGTTTTTATTGTTCTATGGATTTTATGTTGTAAGCCACCCTGAGCCCACTTGTGGGATAGGGCGGGGAATAACAAGAAGAAGAAGAAGAAGAAGAAGAAGAATTCCTAGCATCAAACTGCATCAAAAAAAACCCCTCATATAGATGGCATGTCTATTGAGTCATGTGGGTATATTTCCTACGTGTGCACAGACAGGGCAATAGCCACTGTACTCCCAGTGAGAGTACACCAGCTGCACACATTGTGCAAAACCTGTACGTATGCTTATCAAATGTAAAAATCTTCATTTGGTACATTACTTTTTACCTTGGAACATGGATGTGCCTTCTAGGTAAGCATTTCCTCATGTTCAAAGTGGCTCTTTGAATGAAAGCAAGGATCGGTACAGAGGGGTAAATGACCAGATCTCTCCTCGTCTTGCCAGGATGAATTTGTGTCCGCGTTCAGACAGGCTGAGCGGAGGAAGAACGCGTTGTCAGTGACCAATTCGGCAATGCAAGTCCGGTTCCAGGCGGGCACTGATGTCATCGAGGACCTGACGATTTTATATGGAGGCATTGGCTGTACCACAGTGAGCGCCCCGAACACCTCTCAGAAGCTACGAGGAAGGTACGGTGGTCCCCTGGGAACCTTCAGAGCAGCCCATCTTGATAATGGGGAAGATGTTCAATTCTAAGTGCTTTCCAAATAGAATAGCAAGATGGATTTTACATATTTATAGTTTGTATTCAGGCAGTAACAAGAGAGTCCTAAATTATTATTTCTTTTGTTATGAGTAGGCAAATTACTCCTTCCTTTCACAACATTGTGCAAGATGTATCTTTTCCAAAGTACGTTGAAATGGGGGAGGAGGAGAATTTCATGTTCAGTGAATATCTCTGATAATAATACTTAATTTTTTAAAATCAATTTGCTGATGTAAACTGTGGAGCCAGGAACTGCAGGGATGGAAAATGCCCGAGTGCAGCCTAACTCAGTCCTGTAGACTAAGAAAGCCAGTTTGGTGTAGTGGTTAAGTGCGCAGACTCTAATCTGGGAGAAATGGGTTTGATTCCCCCCTCCTCACTTGCACCTGGCTGGATGACCTTGGGCAAGCCATAGTTCTGGCACAGCTGTTCTTGAAAAAAAGCAGTTTCTGTCAGAGCTCTCTTAGCCCCACCTACCTCACAGGGTGCCTGTTGTGGGGAGGGGAAGGGAAAGGACTTTGTAAGCCGCTCTGAGACTCCTTTGGGTAGTGAAGGGCGGGGTATAAATCCAATCTCCTCCTCCTCCTCCTCCTCCTCCTCCTCCTCCTCCTCCTCCTCCTCCTCCTCCTCCTCCTCCTCCTCCTCCTCCTCCTCCTCCTCCTCCTCCTCCTCCTCCTCCTCCTCCTCCTCCTCCTCCTCCTCCTCCTCCTCCTCCTCCTCCTCCTCCTCCTCCTCCTCCTCCTCCTCCTCCTCCTCCTCCTCCTCCTCCTCCTCCTCCTCCTCCTCCTCCTCCTCCTCCTCCTCCTCCTCCTCCTCCTCCTCCCCCTTCCTCTTCCTCTTCTTCCTCTTCTTCCTCCTCTTCCTCTTCCTCTTCTTCTTCCTCCTCCTCTTCTTCTTCCTCTTCCTCTTCCTCTTCCACACTCAAATCATCCTGATTTCAAATGTTCTTGTTGCCCAGTTGACTTCCCAGCTATCATTGCCAAATATCAGTGAACAAAGGGTTAAAACCCAGATAATTCTTGGCTATGATCACCAAAATCCTGTTTTGTCCATTATGGAGGAACCATGGCTGAGTTATTTGAATTTATAGTGTCCCCTTGTAAGCAGAGAACAGAGAAAGGGCCTGCTTTCTCTCCCAGTCTCTGATATGGAAACATGAAAGAAAATCCCATCAGTTGACTCTTCTCATGACAGTGTCACAAGATCCAGAAGATCCCCCCCCCCCGCTGCTACTGCCATCCTCCAGTCTCTCCCTGTCCGCCACCTTGGTGTCCTACCCTTAATAGCATCAGGAATCTCAGACACCGAATGGGGAGGGGGGTTATGTCACCACTCCTATCGCGCCGTTCCCTCTGGATCGTGGGCTCTTAACGTCTCTCTCTGTCTCTCTCTTAAGTCTTCTCCAATCCAGGTCGTCATCCTTGGCCACCCGGTGCTGCCCTCTTTTATTCCTCCCCCCCCGTGTCCCAGCGTTCCCCGTGCTCTCCCTGCCCTCCCCCGGTCTCAAGCCCCGCCTCCCTACATAGCTGGAGACACTGACCCAAGGGAGGGGCCGAAACTCCCGTTCTGCCCTTCCAACTCAGGTGGGCTGTGGCTGGATGGTCCTGTGCGGGAAGCGGAGCTCGAGCGCCAGGGCGGCTGTCCCGGCGTGGGTGCACTGGCTCCCGGCAGTTCCGCCGCTGCTGCTCTTTGCAGGGAGTGCATCACCCGCCGCCTGTCCCTCCCTGCTCTTCGGCCCACCCCGGAGTCTCCCAGCATCCCTGGTGAGTGGAGTGGGGTCTCGGAGTCATTCCCCGGGCATCGGGCGTGGCTGCCATGGTGGCGTGGGGGGGCTGGCAGTCCCGGTATCGGGACAGACAGTCTTTTCTTGAGTGCAGCTCTGGTATCACAAGGCCTTTCCTTTTATTTCTGTTCCTAAAGCCTTACTCACTTCTACTACTAATCAGTTTGAGGGAGAGCCAAAGAATGTGTTGTACAGGAAATCCTTACCTATATCTTTGACATTTATTTATTTTACGCAGTTATAGGGCACCGTGCATTTGTTCAGAGCTGTTGCCTTGTTAGAGATACCTCCAGTTCTGATTGACTGTGGGACCCCTACAACTGAATTAATTCAAAAATCAAAATGCTGGGAGATCCATTTTGTTGTTTGGCTATACATTAAAGTTTTGCATAGATCTACTAGTAAATAAGTATGTGTTTACTTACTCTTTCTCCCTCAGAGAGTGGAATGAGAAGATGTTGGATGAAGCCTGCCGGCTCATTCTTGAGGAGATTCAGCTCTCCCCTTCAGCAGTAGGCGGAAAAGTGGAATACAGACGAACTCTACTCGTTAGCTTCTTTTTCAGATTCTATTTGGAAGTGCTACAAGATTTAAAGTACATGGTAAGTAGGAATCACCTTGTGATCTTCAACGTTGTCTCTGTGCTTCACACTCATGGGATACAGTGCGCCTACGCTGGTTCGATCAGTATTGTAGCAAGCTCTTAATGGATTTTCACACTCAGACCTCAGGCATGCGCAGGAACCCCACCACGCATGCCCAGAGGGGTGGGTGCAGACATCCCACCAGTTCCTTTCTTTCCGCCGCGCTGGAAGCACCTTCCTTTCGTCGGTCAGATTGGTAGTTATTTTTCCTCAGAGGCTCTTCGGATTTCTCTTCAGTTTTTCTCTTATTTTTCCACTTTTACCTTTGCTTATTTGTTGTTTTCCAAAAAAAAAAAAGACTTTGTTTAGTTTGCGGGGGAAGTTTTTCGTTTTACCTCAGTTGGGCCTTCGCCCCCACACCTCTTTTTCTTCTCCATCTCATTTATTTTATGGAGAAGTGGGGCTTTTTCAAACATTGTAAGGGGTGCGACAGTAAGCTCGCTCCACCTGACGGCCACACCCTTTGCAGTTTTTGTCTTGGTGAGATGCACCAACCAGAGTCCTGTCAACACTGTGCCAAGTTTTCAAATCAAACCAGAAAGAACCGAGCGGCGTGTCTCCGGGTGGCATTACTGGAATCGGCGCTAAATCCCGCTTCCGTCACGGATCCAGAAGTACCGGTAAGACCATCAACATCTACGGCTCCGGTATCGAAGTCCTCGTCCAACATCATCCAGTCAACATCGAAGCGTCCGGCACCGACGGCGCAGTCTTCGGCATCCTCTCCCATGAAAAAGAAGGAGAAATTAGGTAAAGAGCGCAAGTCTGCCAAAAGGGTTCCTCTAAGGCCCTAAAAGCGGCAAAGTCTGGAAAAGTCGCGGGTCCTGCACTGGGTAATGCCCCTAAGGTGCCCCCCACTCCAATGACAGTATCGGCATCGGAGGCTCCAGTCGCTCCACTGATACCGACCATCTAGCTGATGGACTCTCCAATATACTAGCTAGACCACGACACGCTGGTCGATATGCGTCCTTTCTCCGACATCGATAATGTCGAGATCCTCAGTCGTCCCCTGGGCACGGATCGCTCTCCCTCTGCTCAGTCATCGACATCGACGGTCTCAAAGTTCCATGCTGATATCAACCCAGATCGGCATCGACAGATCCCTAAAAGCACTCAACGTCCCGAGGATCGGCCTTTCGATATTGATGATCGGGCTAATAGGGGCCGCTCACAGAGACGAGATCCTACACTGTCTCCCAGACGTTCTGACTCTAGGAGTAGATCCCCACGAGTCTTCCTGCCCCCCCACCTCCTGCTCTCTCCTGGGATCACCGCCAACTACGTTACCTCTATGGGGTTTATCTAACCGCATCCATGCCTTGGTTGACTCCAGCAGGTTACTCTAATTGGGATCGTTACTCTGCTCACAGATCACGGTCACCCAATATATCGAGGCCCTCAGCATCTCTTCCCCGTCCTCCGGATCATCCATCTGATGACCCTCCTCAATATCGACCGGATCAATATCGTCCTCCCAGTCCCCCTATCCCACCGTCAACAGATCCAACCAGTCAGATCAAAACCACTCCGGTACAATTACCAGAGCTCGATTCCTCTGACTCTGCGGATGAGGATTCTGATACGGGGGCTTCAGATGTACACAGCTCCCCTGACACGCCTTCTCCGAACCAGGCAGTAGCCGATGACCAACCTATAACTCCATCTGACAATTTAACTTCCTATGGAGACCTCGTGAAAAGAATGGCCCACTCCCTTGGCCTTTCAGTCGTAAAACCACAACCACAGGTTACAGATGCCGTTTTCGATGTAGTACAACTAGATACATCGACGGCTATAGCACTACCCATGTCCATGGTCCTGTTACAGGCAGCTAAAGCTCCATGGGATAAACTGTCATCGGCTCCAGTGTCCACACATCGCTTGGACCATATGTATAGAGTCCAAGAAACAGGAGCGGAATTCTTATTTGCCCATCCTCAACCAAACTCAACATTAGTTACTTCCTCATCCAAGTCAAAGAGAACCCATTCTGCCCATTCAGACAGGGAGAGCAGAAAGCTAGATGCATTTGGACGACGTTTCTACTCTACTGGAGCACTAGGGGTGAAGACCACCAACTACTTTGTGTATATGAGTAGATACCAATACACTTTGTGGGAGAGGCTCTCCGAGCTCTTGGCAAACCTTCCAGAAGATAAGCGTCAGGCAGCCTGCATCATCCAAAAGGAGGGCATGGTGCTGGCAAAACAACAAATTAATACCTCTAAACATGCCCTAGACACCTGCTCAAGGACAATGGCTTCAGCCATAGCTCTCCAAAGACATTCCTGGCTACATAACACCAATCTACAGCCAGATACTAGGTCATACATAGAGGACCTCTCCTTCGATGGCCTTGGTCTGTTTAATAGTACCACAGACACCATATTACAAGATATGAATAAAAGCATAAAAGCTTCTCATGCTCTGGGCGTTACTTCATCCACGAGGCAGCAATACTGGCCTTGTCCCTGGTCTAGACCCTGGCAAAAATGTACCCCAAACAGTCAGTCTCCTGACCGGCAATGGAGGCCACGTACATCCTCTGGAGGCCAGAAGCGCACATTTCAGAAACCTAGATTTGGATCGGGACAACAATCCTCCCGCAATAAGCAGGCAAAGTCTGCCAAGCAGGGTTTTTTACTTCCATGTCTTCCAATCACATCCAACCCGTCTAACCCCCTTCCTCCAAACTTGGCGCCTCATCACCACAGATGAATGGGTGCTGTCCATCTTGACCCAGGGTTACCACATAGAATTTACTCAGAACCCCATTACTCCTGTCTTCGTCTCCACACCCCCTTCTCCAGCCCTTCTAGAAGAAGTGTCCGTCCTTCTGCAGAAGGGAGCCATCGAGCCAGTGCCATTGCATCTACAGGGCAGGGGATTCTATTCCCACTATTTCACCATTCCAAAGTGGGATGGAGGTGTTCGACCAATCTTAGATCTACAGGCACTAAACTGCTTTGTGAGCTACCACCGCTTCCGCATGGTGTCCTTGCAGCAGATTCTGCCACTTCTCCAGAAGAACGTCTGGACGGCCACCCTCGACCTCCAAGACGTGTACTTCCACCTCACCATCCACCCGTCCCACCGCCAATACCTATGCTTCGCAATTGGTCAGCATCACTACCAATATGCAGCTCTGCCATTTGGCCTTTCAAGTGCACCGAGAGTCTTCACAAAGACGATGGTGGCGGTCGCGGCCTTCCTTCGTCTCAAGGGTATCTCTATCTACCCATAGATCGATGATTGGCTCTTGGTTGCGACTTCCAGGGATGCTTCTACATTTTTCATAGGTTTGAAGGAACTGGCGGGATGTCCATGCCCACCCCTCTGGGCATGCATGGTGGGGTTCCTGCGCATGCCTGAGGTCTGGCCGCGAAAATCCGTTAGAGCTTGCTACAATGCCGATTGATCCAGCGCGTCCCCACTAGATCCCATGGGTGTGAATGCACAGATGACCACTCGAAGATCACTAGTTACAGATGAGCAACCTGTTTTATCTGTGCACTTGTATATCTTCTTGTATATTTTACAGAACTCAAAGAGTACTCACTCAGTCCCCAAGCCACATGTCATGATAAGCTTTCTGTGGACAAGTCCTGTCTTAGCAATCTGTGCCACCTAGTGGGCTTGCTATATTCCTTAGTAAGAGCAGGACTGGCAGATGTTCAAGCCCAGAGCACTAGGGTTGTTAGACCCCTTGTGGAGGCGGGGGTCCTTCGCCACCAGGCCCCACTGCCCTGTCGCTGACCAGCTGACCAGCGGGGGAACCTACCCCAAAAAACAGGGAGGCCCAGTCAAAGTGCAGTGACGTGTCTACGTCACTGCCCATATGACCCTGAAATGATGTCATCACGCTGGGGCGATGCTCTGGTATTTGGGCAAAAACTCTATGGTAGGAGCCCTGTTGTAGAACACCATTCCCACTAACAACTCATGCACTTTTGTATCTAGTTGTTCTCTCCGGTTGTTACTATATTCAGTGGGAGAACTGTCCTGTATAAAGCAAACATTATTTCCAGTGCAAAGAAGTCACTGTGGTTTTTTGGGGGGTAAGAGTCAAAGCTCCCTTCATACGGTTGCCAGCCCCCTGGTGTGAGTGGGGGAACCCCTGCTTTTGCAGGCTCTTGCCTGCCACCAGCCAACTGGCTAGTGGGGGGAAATCTCACCCCCCAACTGACCTTTTTGGGGCTACTTCTGGTTTCGGGCCTACTTCGAGTTTCAGGCCTACTTCCAGTTGGGGGTGACACACTGGTTTTGGGGCAAAACTATGGTTTGAAGCTGAATTTACCATAGAGTTTTACCCAAAAACCAGAATGTCACCCCTGACCAGAAATAGGCCCGAAACCTACTGGCCTTTGTACAACTTAATTCCTAGTTAGGATAACAGAAATATTCTACTGCATAAACAGAAATTCCTTCACCACATTAATATTTTGTGGCTTCCTGACAATGGTTACTGACTGTAACTATAAGAAAGCTGGTGGACTGCTTTCGAAAGAGCCTAGTTTTTGTAAAGGTCAGCCGTGAAAATATTGGTGTGACGTATTAAATGCTTTTAAAATCATCTTCCTTCCTACAGTACCCATCCAAGTATCCTGACTTGCCAAAGGAAAACTTGAGCGCCCTGGAAGAGTTCCGTGACCATCCCCCACAGGGTGTGCAAGAATATCAGGTCAGTGGAGTTGTTTTCCAGGCAATTCATCCCCATGGGAAAAAATGGTGCTATCTTTTTGTGTAGTGGTTAGGAGCCAATCTGGCATAGTAGTTAGGAGCCAATCTGGCATAGTAGTTAGGACTCTAATCTGGGGAGTGGTGCTGCTGGAGTGACCTTGGGCCAGTTACAGTTGTCTCAGAGCTCTCTCCGCCCCAACTACCTCACAGGGTGTCTGTTGTGGACAGGGGAAGGGAAAGGAGTTTGTAAGCTGCTCTGAGACTCCAAGTGAAGGGTGAGGTATAAATCCAATCTCCTCCTCCTCCTCCTCCTCCTCCTCCTCTTCTTCTTCTTCTTCTTCTTCTTCTTCTTCTTCTTCTTCTTCTTCTTCTTCTTCTTCTTCTTCTTCTTCAACAGCATCGTTCATTCTATCATTTCATTTGCCCCTCTCGGCTACTAGTGCGATCTGTGACCAGGAGTAGAATAGGGCATTGGCAGAGGCAAGTGCCATCAAGTCTCAGCCTATATATGGTGACCCTGTAGGGCTGTCAAGGCAAGAGAAAAACAAAGACGGCTTGCCATTGCCCATCTCTGCAGAGTGACCCCCTGGAGCCACATGAACTGAGTGATGCCCCTGGCATTAGGCAACGCCACACCAGTTGTCATCATGGCTGTAGTACAGGTTTGAGCCTTGGGCTCAGGCTCACACTCTTCCTAGCACTGTGTTTAGAACATTTTGTGCAAACCAGTGTGCACAGAGAAGACTGTGCCTGCACTATCTGACCGCCACAAAACAAGGTAGAACGGGCCATGAGGGCAGGACCTACATGAATACAAATGTGCACGAAGAGGCTCTTGTTTATTTAAAATGTCATAAGAACATAAGAGAAGCAAATGTTGGACCAGGCCAATGGCCCATCCAGTCCAACAGTCTGTCACACACGGGCCAAAAATACCAGGTGCCATCAGGAGGTCCAGCAGTGGGGCCAGGACACTAGAAGCCCTCCCACTGTTGCCCCCCCCCAAAGCACCAAGAATACAGAGCATCATTTGCTCCAGACTGAGAGTTCCTATCTATACCTTGTGGCTAATAGCCACTGTTGGACCTCTGCTCCATATGCTTATCTAATTCCCTCTTGAAGCCATCCACGTTTGTGGCTGCCACCACCTCCTGTGGCAGTGAATTCCATGTGTTAATCACTCTATGGGTGAAGAAGTACCTCCTTTTATCTGTTCTAACCCGACCGCTCAGCAATTTCATGGAGTGCCCACGAGTTCTTGTCTTGTGAGAAAGGGAGAAGAGTACCTCTTTCTCAACCTGCTCTATCCCATGCATAATCTTATAAACCTTGATCATGTCACACCTCAGCCGTTGTTTCTCCAAGCTAAAGAGCCCGAACCTTTCTTCATAGGGAAAGTGTTCCAACCCTTTTTATCATTCTAGTTGCCCTTTTCTGCACTTTCCCCAATGCTATAATATCCTTTTTAAGGTGTGGTAACCAGAACTGCACACAGTATTCCAAATGAGGTCACACCATTGATTTATATAGGGGCATTATGATATTGGCTGATCTGTTTTCAATATCCTTCCTAATAATCCCCAGCATAGCAATGGCCTTTTTTATTGCAGTCACACACTGTCTCGACATTTTCAGTGAGTTATCTACTACGACTCTTGGTCATTCTCTGCCATCAACGTGTATTTATAGTTAGGATTTTTGGCTCCACTGGCTCTGAGCCATTTAAACCCCTGCTTTCTGTTCTTCATGGAAAACAGCTCAGCTGTTTGGTGTAAATGGCTCAGGGCTTTTAGCTCCTCACCACTTTTCATGGTGAGCAGAAAGCAGGGGTTTAAACTTTAAATGGCTCATGAACCGGTGTATCAGTTTCTGGTTCAGTTTGTGGGTCAGCCATGAACTGAACTGCAAAAATGGAGTTTGCGCCCATGCCTAAACATTCTCTTGCAGCCAAGTGTATTCAGAAGATACCAGTACGTAATACTCCACAGTATGAATTATCTATATCAGTGTCAAACAAGCAGCCCAAGGGCCGGATCAGGCCCCCGGAGGACTTCTATCAGGCCCGCAGTGGAACTGGCTGTCTTCTGCTTCTTCTTCCAGTTCTGCTGCTGCTGCATCAACATAGGCTTGCAGCTTACAGATACACACCTGAACAGCAGAGTCAAGATTGCAACAGCACAGACATTTTGATGCAATAATTCAGAGCAAGAGGTGTCAGTTATCAGACACGGTTAAATAAACAAAATATTGCAAGAGTGCTAATGTTTTAAGCATGTTTTTTATTTTAAGTTAAAAAAAACCCTCTGTGTTTGTGTCCTTTATAACATTTATATCTCCGCTACCTGGCATTACATTTTATGACACACATGGCCCGGCCCAACAAGGTCTCATTTATGTCAGATCCGGCCCTCATAACAAATGAGTTCGACACCCCTGATCTATATAGTAAGGGACTCCTTCCTCTTTGACAGGATGTGGACCCCCAGCAGCCTCCTCAGGACCCAGTGGGGCGTCCCATCATGCATCAGTCTGGGATTAAGCATGCCACTGGTGAGGCCGTCTACACCAATGACATTGGTCCAATAGATGGACAGCTCTATATGGCGGTGGTGACCAGCACACGAGCGCATGCGAAGATTCTGTAAGTGACAAAATTAAGAGCTTAAGCAAGAAAACTGTGACCAAATGGAACCACAGGTCATGTTCTATCTGTATTTTTTCACTTCAGGGGTGGATTAGAATAACAACTGTGTGGTTGCAAATATAAAGCAGATCTAAAGAGGGAGATTCAAAGCTGGGGAAGGGTTCGTATATACACAGTGCAATGTGGATTGTTTGCTTTGTCTGAACTTTAGCTGAACTTTTGTTTGCTTTGTCTGAACTGTACATCCAGCCCCCTCCCCAGGCTTTCACACTCAGCCGAAACTGATCACCTGTTTCTCTGTCCTGCACTCAGGGAACATCTTGCGATTTCCCCTTATTACAAGCATTTGGTGAGAATGTACAAAAGTTTTTAAAATGTAGGACTCTCGCACTGAGAGTCAGTTTGGTGTAGTGGTTAAGTGCGCAGACTCTAATCTGGGAGAACCGGGTTTGATTCCCCGCTCCTCCACTTGCGCCTGGCTGGATGACCTTGGGTCAGTCACAAGCTCTGGCACAGCTGTCCTTGAAAAAGAGCAGTTTGTGTCAGAGTTCTCTCAGCCCCACCCACCTCACAGGGTGTCTGTTGTGGGGAGGGGAAGGGAAAGGAGTTTGTAAGCCGCTCTGAGACTCCCAAGTGAAGGGCGGGGTATAAATTCAATCTCTTCTCTTCTCTTCTTCTTTTTCTTAGGTACCATTTCTAACTTCAGGTGCGTCTTGGTTCGGTCAAACAATACGATTTGCCACAGGTCCCCAATGTGGTGCCCGTGGTTGCCATGTCACCCGGTGACACCTTTTCTGGTGCCAAACAAGTGTTTTTGGGAAGTGGGCGGGGCCAGATAGCGGTTTTTGCCCAGCAAGGCTTCTGATTGACTATTGGAGATTTGATTGGCTGTGCGGATTTTTTAAAATGACACCTCAGCAACAAGGATCTACATGGTGTGACTGAAGTTAAGCTGTGGCAATCATTTTGTGGCTGGCTCCGCTTCCTGTGGCAGCCATTTTGTGGCCGTGCCCACCATGCCGTGTCAGCATTCCAAATGCGCCGGCAGTCTCAAATAGGTTGGGGACCTCTACCGTATATTACTTAGGAAAAGTATATATTTACTTTGCCTTGATTGTTTCTGTTTGAATCATTCAGGGGTTCCGTTTACCATTACTCCCTGTTGTTACCTGAATTTGAACCTTTATACTCCTTTCCAGATCCATCGATTCCTCTGAGGCCTTAGAAGCTCCAGGAGTGGTTGCTGTGGTAACGGCTGCTGATATTCCAGGGGAAAATGGCGATGAACATGAGGAAGTGTTTGCTGAAAAGGAGGTACTTCTTGACCTTGATTCCCCCCCCCCTCTAAATACACTTTTCTGCCTACCACAGGTACTAATTTACAGATATCCTGCTAACGTGAACGCAGGCTAACCGAACATAGTTGCTTTGGAGGAACAAAAGTGAAAATAACCGCGAGTTGTCGTTTCCCCCCTCATTATAGTATTGGTGAGAAAACTGCAACAAACTCACGGCCTGGGCCTCTAATCTTCTAGTCTAGCTTGTATAGGGTTGCCAAATGGCATTTACCCTTGTGGCGGGGGACTCCAGCCTGGCTCCCGGCGTGTGCGTTAGGGTTGCCAAATCTGCAAAACGTACCGGCGGGGGAGCGTCCAGCCGGTCCGGGAGCCTCTTGCGGATGCGCGCGCCGCCAGAGCGTCACCGGAAGTGACGTCACGCGCTGGGCGGGGCCACGCCATTTGAGGGGAAAACTCTTTGTTTTCCCCTCAAAT